TGAGAAGAGAGATACCCGGGAGAGCTGAGGCTCCCGTTCACAGCGCATGAAGTTCAGGCTCAGTTAGGTATTGGGGGGCTGCAGGGGGGAGTTGCACACTGAAGGGTTTTGACCTTCATGCAGAGAAATGCATGACTATAAAAAAACCTTCAGCCTTTAGAACCACTTCAATACCAGGCACTTTCACCACTTCCTGCTCCGGCCAATTTTCAGCTTTCATCATGGTCACACTTTGAGTGACATTTGCGCTGTCATGCAATGCTGTACCCAAACAATTTATTTAATTTTGTTGACACAAAAAGTGCTTTCTTTTGGTGGTATTCAATCACCACTGGGTTTTTAATTTTTTGCTACATAAAAACGAAAAAAAAAAAAAAAAAAAAAAAAAAAAAAGTCATAAACTAGAATACAGTGTTACCATAGTAACACTTTACAATACTGGGGAGGTGATCCAGATTTTTTTTCTCTTTTTTAAAAAGACATTAGGATTGCTTAGAACAGTGAATTTCACTGTTCTAAACAATCATTTTTACTAAATGAAAATCGATTCAGTGTGAATTGTTGTGATTAGCTGTGATTGGTCACAGCTAATCACATGATACACATGGGCTGTGATTGGTCGTATCTGTACCTTGTGATCAGTGAGGTTCATTTACTAAAGCGGTTTCACTCAGAAGCTCATGCACCTGTGCATGGTAGCCAATCCACTTCTAACCTCAGCTTGTTCAATTAAGCTTTAGCAATAAAACCTGGAAGCGGATTGGTTTCTATGCAGAAGTGCATGAGATTCTGAGTGAACTAGATTTAGAAAATAAACCTCACTGACCAAAGCGAGCAACACAATGGATGGCATGAATGAAAGCCATCCAATGTACACAATTGTCATGTGATCTGTTGTAGCTGGTCACAGCAATCACATGGTACCAGCAGCAGGCCAGTATAGTACTAAGTGATCAGCTGCATCCAGTGGACAGAGTGCAAGGTGCGTTTTGCGGAAGACATCATGTGTGAGCTGATCGCTAGATAAGCTTCTGTTGAACGGGTCAGCTGTAAAATCTTGCTTAATCAGCAGCTTGCAGCCAGAGAGTCCCTGCTGTCAGAATACAAAGTCCCAGTGGGGAGGGGGGGTGGAATTCCTGCACCCTACCTCGCTTGTGTGGCTGCAGTAAATCGGTTAGTGTTTGTTTTGGGCTGCCGGCTGAAGTAAAACTACTATGTGTGCACCTAGCTTAAAACTGCAGCAGAGAAAGATCAGGTCCCCTCCCCTGTAAACAGAGAGCCTTCCACTCACAGATCAGAAAGTTTATAGTTAGTAAGAGGTTTTGATAGATACGTTTTTTATTTCAGGGAATTTATGACACAATCAAGATTTGTAATACACTGATAATCCTTCACTGTATTGTATCCAGGACAGGCCACTCACTACTATTTATAGGCATCCCACATGTTTGCATTAAAAGAGATTACTCAGGAGGGGGTGAAATTAGCCTGATAAATAAAAAAAGGGGAGAAGGGAGTTCTTTATCTACACACACTGAGGCTGTCCATAGATGCAAGGTGGTGCTTACTAGAATTAGGAACAAATCTTTCATATAAAAAGGCCATTTCATAAACTGCGAAGACTTTCTGCCTAAAAAATTTATATTAGAACAGCACCAAAATACAGCCCCCCAAGATTAGGGATGTATTTGAATAACCCTGCACAAGAGGAGTATTACCAGTATCCATCCTGTTCTACCAACAGAGGTTTAATAGCAATACATAAATAAATGTTTTCCAGAAGAGTCTTCATCTGAATCAAGTCCTTAAAAATAGATTCATACAAAAAAGGTACACTTCAACAGCCTCTCATTCAGGCTTTTGTTTTGAGTACTTCTAACCAATAGGCATGCAAAAAAAAAAAAAAAAAAAAAAAAAAAAAAAAAAAAAAAGGAGAAGCAGAGAAAGCACTACTGTCCAAGTGTAGCAAAATGTTGAAAAAACAATATATAGTATTAGGTAATAATATTTGCACTCACATTTCCAATAAGTTGAATGTGTCTACAAAATCGCAATAAAAAAAAAAAAATGATAGGAGCACACCACTCTCAGTGTAGAAACACAAACTGATAAAAAAAAAACCAAAATAAAAAAAAAAAAAAAAAAAAAAAAAAAAAGGGGTGGGGGAGAATGTGCTGTATATAACACAGTAGATAAAACACAGTCATAGTTCAAAAAGCTCCAGGATGAGTAGAATGGTGTCCATCTATTGGGCCCCAATGGGAAGTTCAAGGTGGATGAATAGAGTGCTTCCACTGGTAACAGCCTCAAAAAACTAAAACAGTGCAGGATGACTGGAGTACCATTCAAAACATGGAGACAGCATGCTACTCAGTGTAGAATTTGTTAAAACAATTGAGGAACAAACAACACTAATGCACTCACATACAATAGGTAAAGGCAAAGTACTACTACAAGCAGATGGCGCCTTTCTATTGGTCCCAAAAAAATGGGGGGGGGGGGGGGGGGGGGGGTTAAAAAAAAAAAAAAAAAAAAAAAAGGGTATATGGAGCAGGGGGGGTCTCCAAATTATGGGCCCTCCCAGCTGTTGAAGTACTGGACAATTATTCCCATCATGCCTCTAAAAGTGTTACCTGTGGCTGTCAGTCTTGCAAGGCCTCATGGGAATTGCAGTTCCTCAACACCTGAAGGGCCATATTTTTTTTTTGATATAGGAGGATTGGAGAATTATTGGTGGAAAACTTGAAACAGGAAGCAGTGTAAAATGACTGCAACACTGGAACCAGGAAGAATGGCAACCCTGATATTGCAGTGATGGAGGCTGCCCCAGACCACACACAGAAGCAGTTCCCAGCTGACAGAGCAGCTGTGATGTCACATTGACGTAAGGGGAAACTGCGTGGGTGTGGCTTCATATTATGGAGTGGAGTCCCTTTTGTCAAGCCTGCCTAGTACTGAGAAGTCTTGCAATATATAGAGGGCCAGCCATGAAGACAAGTTAGACTATGTGGCTACATGCCTTACATACATTTTTTTAATCAATTTCGTGAGTTCCTGAGAGTGAGAACAAGCAGGCTGTTCTCCCAACACAGCCAGAAAAAAGAACTGACCACACTGACAATGGATGTGCTCTGATGCCTCGAGTGGTCATCTGAAATAGAGCAGGGAGACTTGCTGGATCTCCAGGGACTTTGCAAAGCAAGCAATGCAGAGAGAACAGGATATGTTTAAACACACAAGAACAGATACATATCAGGAATATAAATTTGGGGTAACATTCTTTAAGTCGCAGTCTCATGGTGCTACAGGAGTCTTCTCAATCTGTTTACTTCCTGCTTGTGGCTTCTTTTGGGTGTCCACATCACTGCAGGACATGGGCTCTTCTTATTGGATGTCCTGTGGCTTCTTTGCCCACCCTAAAAAAACATCTACTTTCAGAGGACCACGTCATCACAAGGAATCGGCAAGGCTCAGGGCAATTTCAGTTGGGCATCACAGAGCTGAAATCATGGGCCCCCCACCACCGACCCAAAATCAGCAGTGAGAAAACTAGAGGGAGGACATATGAGTATTGCTGGCTTTAGAGTCAAGGTAAGGAGAAAAATATAACGTAAAGCAAAACTTCAGCTAAACTCCTCTTGCATGTGGTGCTCCCCCCGATCCCTGCAAAGCTTAGATACTTTTTCTTTTTAATCTAGTGAGAATGGAATAAGCAGTAAATACCCAACTTATTGAAATTCCCTCCAGCACTATTTACTGCACTTCAGCATCCTGAGATGTAGGCAGGCCCCTGATGTCCTCACAATGCAGTATTGCTGGTCCCACATATAAAGTGATGCCACTGGAGAGCCAATGACTTAGAGGAACAGCAAAGAGAAGTGGCTAGGAAAAGGCAAGTTACTGCTTATTTTTATTCTACTAGACAAAATAAACATTGAATCCTTGTGTAGGGAGGGGGGAGGTTTTGCAAGGGTATTTCTGTATTTAAAATGTACAGATGCAATGGTGACATAACTTTGAACTGACGCTTACAGTAATACATTACTGTTTTATGAGCTGTTCAATTAGTTTAACGAAGATCTTCAGCATAATTAAAACTGTAGCATATAGCAACATTTTTTTTTATTCTTCAGGCTTATGCCTGCAAAAGGATTTAGTTCGCCTGAGGTCATCTTCATGCTATTCAGAGCTTTAAATGTACATGCACAAATTGCAGAGCATTACCACGTTAAGGAGACTTTTTATTTTGAATGCACTAGCAGAGCAGCTTAAAAGTCTGCATTAAACTAAATTTTTGCACCAAACAAAAAGGTACGCCTTTGCTCCACCTTCAAGGGTAGTGATTGATAGTGGTTTTGTTGACTTTCCGGGCTGCCTGTACATGTTGGCACAGCAGGAAAAGCATGTGCAATGACAGTATGGCTGATGGAACTTGGTTCTCAGGTCCTCAGCGCAGTGATCACATGACTTTTTTTACATTTTGAGCATGCTCTATGCGACCAGAAGTGCAGGGAAGCAATGCACAGAAAGTCAGAGGATGAGGCTGCAAGGTGTATAAAAAATGTAAATGTATCTGTTCCAATAGGTCTCTGATACACACAATATACTATGCTTCCCTCACTTCCACAGTGCACTGCAACACACAGCATGTGCATTGGCGTGCCCGAGCTTTTCCCACTACTGCAATTGTCATTCAGAATGACTGGAACTACAACACGGTTTATGCATTACCAGAATGCTTAGTAAAATGTATGTTTTTGCATGTTACCACAAAGAAAAAAAAAAAATAAAAAAATGTAAATGTGCTTTGGACCACTTATCTACCGCCGTTTTGAAGTGCAGTGGACAATTATTTCTGCAGTGCCATTTACAAATAGTACGGAATGAAAGTTATATAGAGTTTACAAATGTTAACACACACAATACACACACTTTTGTTTTTTTTTTTTTTTTTTTTTTTTTTTTTTTAATTCTTACTAGTAATGGTGGCGATCAGCGACTTATAATAGGACTGCGGAGCGCATTCAGACACTGGGGGGAACTGACTTGGTGTCACTGACATCCCCAGTGGCGCCAATACAGTGATCAATGCTAATAAAAAGCACTGACACTGTACTAACGGCACTGGGCAGAAAGGGATTAACATCTGGGGAGATCAAAGGGTTAACTGTGTGCATTTTACTATGGGGCTGTGTCTGTGTGCTTCACTGCATGCACACTGATTTGCATGGCTGTGCACAGCCATGCAAATCAGTGTGCATGAGCTGACAGGGAGGAAAACTGTTTTATTAACTAACAGTTCTTCCCCCCCCCCCATCTGAGATCCTCAGCAATCACCGAGTGCTGGTGAGTAATCACCGCCTGGGACCCAGTGATTGACAGCCGCGAATGGTGGCGTGGGTAGGGCGCGTGTGTGCACCCCCTACCCACAAATGCAAAATCATGTGTGTATACAAGTGATTTTGCACACCCGTGCCACCCTGTAGCAGTATAACTGCTATAGGGCAGATAGGAAGCGGTTACGGGAGTTCTATGGTCACAGCATACACCTTTTTAGAATATCAGCATTGTAATAGTAATTCAAACAATGGTTATTATGGAAAAAAAATATAAAAGTTTACTTGAAAATCTTTTTATGTTGCGATTACTGCCCAACCATAGTTTTCCCATAATCATCATTCAGGACAACTACCAGAGTGGTCTAACAAAGAACTATCATACATTAGTGGAGGACAGCCCATAGAACCTTTCTGAAGGCCAAACTTTGGCTTATTAAATGCCCTAGTAAATCAAAAGGCATAGTTTGTGGACCTAACTGCAAATAGAGATTTCCTCCCAGGAAGTTCCGTCTCTCTCTGTCACGGATGCTGCCACTGATCTCAGCTGGAGGCTCATAATCCACGCTCCTAAAAGCAGGAAGGATGGCTTCCCTAATCCAACTGGCTATGGAACCTTTAAAGTGATTATAGTCACATTTAAAAAAAAAAAAAAAAAAAAAAAAAAAAAAAAACACACACACACCACAATAAAAAAGGTTTATACTTACCTGCTCTATGCAAGAGTATTGAAGAAAGTAGCCACTTGCCTCCTCTTCTGGGCCTCCTGCCAGCACTGTTCCTCCTTCTGTGTGTCCCCATAGCAAGCCACTTGCTATGGGGGCACACATTCGAGTTGAACCATGTGCATCCATAGACACACAGCGTAGCTAGGCTGCGCTTGAATTTAAGACATCTCAAGAGACACCTTTTTTGCATCTTGAGAAATGAACTGATTTTTTGGGGTACTGCAGAAAGTTGGTAGTCACTTCCTGTGATCTATGGAAGGCTTAAGGTGGAAAAATGGGCTAATAGAAGACTGGCTAAAAAAAAAAAAAAAAAAAAAAAGTTGCCTCCCCCTCCTCCTACCTATGCTGCATACTGTTTGTAAAAGATCTGTGTACATACACAGAACCTCTTTCAATCATCTTCAGAATGGTCACAAGATCCAGATTCTGGTCACAAAATCAAAATTGAGTTGTGACAATCCCTGCCGGCTTCTACTACCAAACCCAGGCTGAAGTCTAAGCCTGCAGGTATAGAACAGTCAACCTTTGTGATCTGGGGTTGTTTTGCTCCATGGTAGATGTGTTTCAGCGAGTCCATGCCAGTCTGAAATGTGGTTAAAGCCTTGCCAGCCCAGGTTTTAATAAAACAGAAAGGAAAGTCCACAAAAAAAAAAAAAAAAAAAGTTGCCCATGCAGGGGATTTTCAATATTAAATAGCAAAAATGCCAAGCCACCTGGCTCTCTTCAGCAGATCTGCTTTTTTATCGGGATCCTTAAGACCCATCTCTCAGGGCTCTCATAGCTCACTCAGCCTTTAGTTAAAGTAGCCAGCTGCATGCACCCACTCCCTGGCCTCTCAATAGGTGATCTCCTGGCACCCTGGGCTCTCTCACTCTTCAGCGACCTCTAAGTTTCCGCAGTCTCCTGGACTCACATAGTCACCTCAGCATTCCCAGTCCTCCAGACTTGCTCCACTGTCCCGATTCTGCCAGTCCTGTTCAAGATGCCAGCCAGAATGCAGTCGATGGTATCATCTTCTGCCACTGGAAGTGTCACCAAATGCCATATTGCTCACACTATCCACCATTTTCCCCCTGACATGAGGGAATGCCACGAACCACCCCGAGGATGGGCCAGATGCACCGTATTGTTCCCTAGAGAAAACAGGTAGGGAACAGCTACAAAGGCGAAAAGACTCACTTCCAACCCTGTACAGGGAAGAAAGATAACCCTCAGGGAGGAAGGGGTAAAACTGTCCAGGGACTAAGACCTGATGGCACTGAGAATGGTCTATGACCACAATAACCAGACCTACAGCAACAAAATAAGCATTACAATAGGAGTTCCTGGATGGTTGGAAACAGTGAAACTGAGGATGAGGGGATGGAAGGGACTTTGAAACTGCATTTGGCTTAGCGTTTCCTGAAGGCACAGCCAATCATCCCTCAGGTAGCTATCCTGGAAGATGATTATGGGAAAGTACGTTACAACACTTTGGACGTGTTTGGTAAGCTGTATCTCTATGTTTAGCAGGGCTTTAGGAGTGGGTCAGATAGGACTGAAACAACTAATTGACATAATAGATTATGAAAATAGTTGTCAACGGATTTCATAATGGATTAGTTAACCTGCATACAGAATGCATTTGTTTACATATCAGAAAAAAAAAAAAAAAAAAAAAAAAAAAAAAAAAAAAAAACAGTGCAGCATGCATACAGCTCAGTACACCATCCATACATGTCAGTTACACACAGTGCAGCACACATACAGCTCAGTACACTGTCCATACACATCAGCAAGTGCCTGGGAATTTGTGAATGTGAGGAGCAAAGCCTCATGGGACATGTAGGCCTTGGCAGGAGAAGGAAGCGAGTGAATCTAAAGGCAGATTTTATCCATGCAAAAAATCTCAGCCTTTAGTACTACTTTAATATAAAAAGATTTACATCCCCCCTCCACATCAGTCTCTCATAAAATACCTTATATATCCATATCCAACTGCTGGGTAGAAACACACACACACACACACTTTAGCTGTCTCACAGTATAAATGAACCCCTTATAGTAGAGATTATCTGCTGTTTTTGTGCTGAAAAGGGCTAATTTTTTTTTTTAACCCAATCATGACAGGTGATTAAAAAAAAAAAAAAAAAAAATTAAAAAAAAAAAAAAAGGACGCATGTTGCTGCTACTATGTCTTTTGCTGGCCATACATATATCGATTTTCAGACGAGAATATTCGTAAGAAAATTGTTCGTGCTGTTGATGAATGTCGTCAGAAATGTTCACTTGCTTTTAAACATTCAATTTTAAAATTAATGTAGTTTGTAAACGAAAACCACATACATTGTGTATATTAACTCCAGACTTTTGAGGTTTTTCCCTGATAAATTGAAATAATAATCAGCCAGCTAATTGATTTTGAAAATATTCCTTAGTTGCAGCCATAGGGTCAAAATATTTATACGTTTGTAGGCACTAAGGAACCATGGCATACATCCCCCCTGTGTAAGTTTCTTAGGAGAAGAAAGTCAAATTGGCCAAGCCTCCCCTTCCCTTTTCCACAGGCCCAAACATGCATGTTTGCACAATGTAAACTTCCATATCACAATTTATTAATTAACAGACAATTCAATAGTCAAAGTTTTGCATGAGCTGGTTTTCAAATTATTTACATTTATAGGAAGGACACAATTGGGTATTAAAAGCAAACACAGACTAGGGTTAAAACTACTTTTTAAGAGCAAACCTGTAAGATAACAATCCCCAGCCTGCCCTAGGTACCCTATGGTGCCTACACTACCTTTACCACTTACTGCTTAGAATCCCACCAAATTATCAGAAATCACTCCTAATGGTATGATCCTTCCTCCTTAGAAAGCTCTTGAGCCTGGTGGTTGGCAGCTCTGGGCCCAAGAGCTGCATTCTGGGGAGGTATATGATGCGCCACTTTTTAATTTCTGGCAGAAGAGATCAAAGTGGTGGTGAAGGTAGGTATAGAGACAGGGTAACCAATAATAAACAAGAGTTTCTATGGCAATCCTACAGCAACACTTTGAGGCTATTTATATAAAAATCAACTAAGCTAAATAACTGATGTCTCATGATTGCAACATTTATATAATACAAACTTCAGTACGATTATAGAATGCTACCTCTTATGTACACACAAAGCACTACCCTGTCACTTTTATGTGAACAGATTTACAAACAATAACATGAACAGTATTTTGTGTAAACACTGGATATGGCATAATTCCCAGAGTTCTACTGACTAAAGCTTGCTTACTTCTAGCCATCCCTGTGCAATCCATGATCAACATGGGAGCGGCTGTAAAAGAGATTAACAAAATACTGAACTGATTTAATACACAAAACTGCCACAACTATAGTTACATTTGGTCCAGTTGCAATATTTGTAATAAATGCATATTATGTTAGGATATATAGGCAATGGTAGGCAGATGGGACTGTATACACCAGTGTGTTAGCATCATGTCAAGAATTTGGGGCATGTAGACTCTAGGCTTTGCAGCAATCTGCTGCCTCCACTGAATTCAATTGCCACTTGCCAAAAACCTGCCTAAAGCTTCAGTGTGTGTTTTTTTGAAGCATTTGCCTCCCCTTGTGAAAACCCCCCCCCCCCAAAAAACAAAGAAACCTGAAAACCAGGAGGTGTAATTTGGGCAGTGTTTATCTCTGAACAGTAATGAGTGTGATACGCGCCAAGCATGTGGGTTAATGTTACAGTTAAGTGAACTGGAGATTGTCATTTTGCTCATGGCAAAGAGGCCCAAGAGTAGCCAGACATTGCCGAATTCTGTAGGATGGCCCAACGTGAAACCTGGTTTAGGATTAGATCACGTAGGATTTCTCTAGGGTATAATAAAAACGCTGACAAAGAATCCACATTGTTGGAAAATCTCTGTGCAGCTTCTAAGAAGGGGAAGTGTTTCACTTCACTGCATCAGGTCCCAATGGGCTGAAGACAACAAGATGTCTCATTGCCAGTCGCCCCAGTGAAATATTTGGCTGCAAGCCTTAAACTGGCCACACAATCTGAATGTACAATTGCCTTTAGATTAAAGCTGCCCATAGATTGATTGTTTTGATTCCTCTATCGAAACATTGTGGATGGAGGAATCCTCCCTGCTGAGCTATTGTATTGTGACAGTGGGACCTCTTCCACTCTCAGACTGAGCCAATTGGCTGCAGCGCTGATCAAATGAAAAATTTCCAATATTCCTGTCCAATTGTTAGATTGACTTCTCTCTAGCAGAAATGACCATAGATAGATTGAAATTATTATTATACAGGATTTATATAGCGCCAACGGTTTGCTCAGCGCTTTACGTTATAGTGGGAGACAATACAGTAACAATACAAGAGGGATTTGAAGGC